TGTAAAAAGACAAGTGGGAATCAGAGGTCCTAAGTTCAAGCCCCAGTACCAACACACACACACACACAAATAAATAAATAAAAATATATAATATTACGTATTTACATATTACATATATTACATCCTGTGGAAGTGCTGCTGACTAAAATCATATATATATTAAAAATATCCACTTAAGAATTTATTGTTCACATCATTTTCCTGCATCTCTAAATATTCCAACCTGTATTTCCCAAAAGTCAAGGGTATTCTTTTGTGTAGTTCAATTATTAAACTCAATAAATTTACAAATGTAGCATTATTATCACATATATATTTCCATATAGAAATTTCACAAATTATCTTTTTTATGTTATTCTGTTGTAAAGATGCTGTTACAGTTACATGAGAAAGGCTTATTGCCTTACTCTCAAATTATCTTTTTTTAAAAAAAATTTTATTGTGAAATACTGTACAGAGGGGTTACAATTACATGGCAAGATGAGTACATTTCTTATCAAGCATTGTAGCCTCCTCCTTTGTTTCCCCTTCCCATCCCATCCTCTCCCTACCCCCCCACCCAATCCTCCCCCTCCACCCCCGGAACCAAAGTTGTAAAGTTCGTTTTCGACATACGACTTGTACGTCTCATTGTTGCAATGGGTCCACCTGTATCCCTATTTAAACGATTTGTTTTTTCCCTTCCCCTCTACAAATTATAACAACATCAAATACAGTGAAAGCAGGGGTTATACCGTGGGGGAGGGACATACAAAGCAACAAAGAAATCATCTTATAAATGTGTTAGAAACAATCTCATGAAAGAAAAAAAAACATCTGAATACATATCTTAGGGTTCATTTCCCTAACATCAACTTATCTGACCTTTTCTGCTTGACTCAGACATATACTAGTTATTGTAAATAAGGGAAACCATAGGACCTATGTTTCTTTGGGACTGGCTTACTTCATTTAATATAATTTTTTCCAACTCTTTCCATTTCCTAACAAATGGGGCAATGTCATTCTTTCTGATGGAGGCATAGAATTCCATTGTGTATATATACCACATTTTCTTGATCCATTCATCTACTGAGGGGCATCTGGGTTGGTTCCATATCTTAGCTATGGTAAATAAAGCTGCAATAAACATAGTCATGCTGGTAGCTTTAGTGTGGTCTTGTGTGTGAACATTTGGGTAAATGCTCAAAAGTGGGATTGCTGGGTCATAGGGGAGCTCTATGTGGAGTCTTTTGAGGAACCTCCATACTACTTTCCAAAGTGGTTGAACAAGTTTACACTCCCACCAACAATGCAGTAAGTTTCCCTTCTGTCCACATCCCCTCCAGCATCTATTGTTATTAGAGTTCTTGATTATAGCCATTTTAACTGGGGTGAGGTGGTATCTCAATGTTGTCTTGATTTATATTTCTTTTATGGCTAGGGAGGTTGAGCATTTCTTCATGTGTCTATTGGCCATCCTTCTTTCCTCTTCAGAGAAGTTTCTCTTTAAGTCTTTAGCCCACTTATTTATTGGGCAGTTGTTTCTTTGAGGATTTGTTGTTGGGGGATTTAATTTTTTGAGTTCAAGATATATTTTAGATATGAGACCCTTGTCTGTTGTATGGCTAGTGGAGATCTTCTCCCAGTTCCTGGGCTTTCTATTGATCTTGCTAGCTATGTCCTTTGCCATGCAGAAGCTCTGCAATTACATGCAATCCCATTTGTCCAAACTTTCTTTGATTTGTTGTGTTTCTGGGTCTCTATTAAGAAAATTTCAGCCTGTGCCAAGGAGACCTAGGGTTTCTCCTATTCCATCCTGTAATGTTTTCAGAGTGTCTGCTTTGAGTTCAAGGTCTTTGATCCATTTGGAGTTGATTCTGGTGCAGGGTGATATATAAGGATCTAGCTTTAGTTTTCTACAAGTAGTTAACCAATTTTGCCAGCACCATTTACTGAAGAGGCTGTCTTTCTCCCATTCTATTTTTTTAGCTCCCTTATCGAAGATTAGATGGCTATAGGTCTGTAGGTTCATTTCTGGGTTTTCAATTCTATTCCAGTGGTCCTGAGGTCTGTTCTTGTGCCAGTACCAAGCTGTTTTGATTACTATGGTCAAATTATCTCAACAGTGCCATTTACTGAAATTGTGTCTCTGACTCAGGCTCCGAACAAGGTTCATCCATTACATTTAATCTAGTGTCTCTGTTGTTATGAAACAATGCCTTACACTATCATTATATTTCATGATATTGACTTTTTAAAGCTTACAGGCCACTTGTTTTGTAGAGTGTCCTTCTCCCTGTGTTTTTCAGTATCCTTATTACTGGAGTTACATATGCCCTTTGGGAAGAAAAACTCTTGTGATTCTGTATCTTCAGTGTATGTGTGTATATGTGTGTGTGTGTATGCATATATGTGTATGTGTATGCATGTATATATATATATATATATATATATATATATATTCTGAGTGACAAATGTCAGTTTCTCTCATTAGTGAGTACTGAATGCTTAATGAGAATGGAATTCTATATCCATTTCACTACTACAAAAACTTCCATTGCCCCCTCTCCAACTAATAAGCATCTACAGTTTGATGTTGTGCAATTATCTTGCTGCTTTTTACGTTTCCCTTAAGCATTTTAGTATCTATTAGGCATGTTAAATCTAGCCAAATTCAATTATTGCTGTGATGACTAAAAATGATTATTTTCCAACCTTGTTATTCCTTTTGTGTTTATTGGGTGAGCTCTCTATAAAGAGGGGCCTTCCCTTCTTATAAATTTATTCTCTTACTTGCTTGTCTTACTGTAGATGCATTGTTTCCTGTTTCTGTCAGTGGTTTACAAACTCTTCTTCGTTATTTATTTTGAGCTTAAATTTTCCCATATTTACTTCAGGTAATCCCTGAAAAGTTATCTTCTGTGTAATTTTTAAATAATCCTATAATTTTCGGCTTTATTTCCTGCTACACTGAAATGGAGACTTAAAAACGTAGCTTCATTTCTCATCCTACATTCTCTCTCTCTCTCTCTCCCTCTCTCTCTCTCTCTCTGTAGTCCAATGAGCTCTTTCACCAGAAGGGGAAGTGTGATGAGGCAAATGTTCTTTAATATTTCAGAAACACTATCGATGAAGGAATCAATACTCTCCATGCAAAAAGGATTAGTAATTCCCCTCTCTCGAAAAACAAGAGAGGATGATTCCTTTCTAATGGAAGGTTATCGCTTCCTGGTAGCCATCAACCTCTTATCTTGACAGGGGAGATATTTCAGTACTCATGTCACATGTGACATTCAAACCTTGACTGTTCACATCATGGAGACTCTCCTCGAATGTGCCGGGCATATTTAGTTGCTTGTCTGTAAGGAATGCTTTGTCCCAGCGGAAATACTGTGGGTCATCCTACAGGCCACAAAAGTGATGCCTGTTGCCAATTTTGAATGTAGTATCAATTTTGTAGTCTAGTAGAAAATGCAAAGCTCATATATTAAGTAGTTTTGCTCCTGTCATACCTTGTTCTATCTTGTCTTTTACCTGCATGGAACTCAAAATTATAACAAATACCTTAAACAGAGGAAAGATGAGGCATTCCCAGATGATCAACATGCAGGCCCCATTGTTTGGGGTTTACTGTGCATGCAAAGCCAAGATTCAGAGCAGCCAGGCCTGCTTTCCTCTGCATGTGCTCTTGACTAAAAATTATAAAAGTACATTTTTTTCTAATATAGATCTAGACTTTACCCATGAAAAGAGGTAAACAAGTGCACATGGAAATAAGCCTACTGTGACCAAGGGTGTGGCTAGACATACAGCAATACTACAAGCGGTCTTTGTGGGCTCCCTTCTGCCAGTGGCTTCTCACTTGTTTTCATCAGTTTATCATATCAAAATGTAGGATCAATTCCTTCATTCATGTAAGAAATGGACATGCACTTCTCTAGATCTTTAGAGGACCTGAACTATATGAATTTCAAAACTTCATTTGTGTCCTTGTTGATGATAATGAGGCTGGCATGCTTACATTTGTTGCATGCATTTGAAATGGTTCATGTCTTCCAAAAGTCCACTCAGAAATACCCTGATGTTTTAACCAATAAATTATATGATAGAGAGAGAGAGAGAAAGAACGCCAAGCACTGGTGGATAATGCTTGTAATCCTAACTACTCAGGAGACTGAGATCTGAGGATCTCAGTTCAAAGCTAGCCACAATGAGACTCTTATCTCTTAATTACTGCACAAAGCTGTAAGTGTAACTGTGACTCAAATGGTAAAGCTCTAGCCTTGAGCAAAAAACCTTAGGGAAAGCCTCAGCCAAGGACCAGCATGAAGAAGAAAGAATGAGGAAGAGGAAGAAGAGGAGGAGGAAAAGGAAGAAGAGGAAGAGGAAGAGAAGGAGGAGAATAGAAGAAGAAAAAGAAGAAATACCTATATATTTAGAAATACCTATATATTTAGACTATATTAAAATATGAAGCTGGCTGTGGTAATGCACTCTAGTAATCCCAGAACTCAGAAGACTGAAGCTGGGGGACGGCAAGTTCAAGGCCAGCCTGGGCTACATAGTGGGATCCTGTCTCAAAAACGAAACCAACAAAATATGATATATGCTCCAGATCTAGAAAAATTTCAAGTATACCCAACTTAGGCTTCTAATTGTTGAGATTATCTTTTAAATATCTCTTTTTTTTTCTTTGTCGGTCCTGAGGCTTGAACTCTGGGCCTGGACACTGCCCCTCAACTCTTTAGCTCAAGGCTAGTGCTCTGCCACTTGAGTCGCAGCCCCACTTCCGGTTTTCTGAGTGGTTTATTGGAGATAAGAGTCTCACAGACTTTCCTGCCCGGGCTGGCTTTGAATCACAATCCTCAGATCTCAGCCTCCTGAGTAGCTAGGATTACAGGCATGAGCCACTGGCACCTGGCAATGTCTCTCTTTTTTAATACACTACTCTTTACATAATGGAGTTAACAGGCTCTCTTCTAGATATTTAAACTGATACATCTGCTTACTTTCTACAGATACAACACACTCAGGGGAAATTGGCACTAAGAAAAAGGTGAAAAGACTGTTAAGTTTCCAAAGATACTTCCATGCTTCGAGACTGCTTCGTGGGATTATACCACAAGCCCCCCTCCACCTGCTGGATGAAGACTACCTTGGACAAGCACGGGTAAGCAGTCACCCCTCTCTCCATTGGCCAAGAACCTGTGCCTCTGTTGACAGCACGTAGATTTGAGCCCTACTCTGCCTCTGAGAAGCTGTGTGGTCCTGGGTGTGGTCCTGGGTTAGTGAGTGGCTCAACACAGCTGGATCTTTTCATCAAATATCAAGTGAAAGCAAGAGAAAACATCTGCCTTATAGGGGAAATGCAGAGATTAATGAAGGAGAATACGTTTTTGTTCTTTTACAAATGCTGGGTCTTGAACCCAAGAGTCTCACACAAGTTAAGCACACATTCTATCACTGGGCTACATCCCCAGCCCAGAGGTAAGACATAGTTACATGCTTACTACACTCACGCGTGGCTCGTGCTATTTTCATTTCTATAAATGTATAAAATATATTTGTGCAAAGGTCAGTAAAATTAAGTGTTGGATTCAAAAATCACTAATGAGGGAATAACTACATCTTTTAATTCATTAAGTTATCTCATTGTTATGGGGACACTGAAAATAATCCAATAATTATCAACTGTTAATTTCACACAAGGTTGTAAATAGTGTATTCTTACTTTATTATTTTCAATCCATTTACCTATTTTTAATGATTTTACAATTATTTTTTCTCGACATTGATTTGACTGAAAACTAAAATTAAGGTTTGCCTGTCCCCCCCAAAAAAATGTTTACAAGTTATCTCTAGCCTAAATTGCCAAAGGAATTTAAATTTCAGAAACAAACTGTTGCTATTGAACATAAGTTAAAGGAAGTATTTTATAACTTATCTACTGAGTAATATTATATTATCTACTACTAAGATATATATATATATATTACTAATAGATACTGTTAATAAATGAGTAGTAATGTCAAAAGAACTAATTCCCGGTATGGTATCTATAATTTTAAAAAGTCATTATTTATAGCAACCCAAAGTCTGAGATTGGACAAATGTTCGGGTAGTGTTTGTTTGGTGCTCTCTTGGTTGGTGTTTGTATGGTTGATTGGTGATTGACTGGTTGGCTAGTAGGTGATTAGGTGATAGATTAAGAGGAGAGCAAGACTAAACTCCTCTAGTACTGGAACACCATGACAGAGCACTCTTGATCATTTCTCTACCCAACGCAGCTACATTTTAAAAAGATGATGTTGAGGATACAGAAAGAACAGTGGTCTGAATGTCAGAAGTGAGGTCTTGAATCTACCTTTGGTACCTCAAAAATAACTTCTCAAACCCTCATTTCTCTGATCAATTATGAGGTCTTAGAGTAGGATTCAGGTAGGTCAAGCCATTCAGAGGCAGGTGGAAGTGTGAGCTGCTCCTCTTGTGAATGCCCTCCCAAACAAAGGGGTGAAAGTTTAGAAACGTTGCTGAGGAGGAGTTGGATCAACTACTGCAACTTTTATGTCACCATTTAATGCTAGCCAAAGTATGTTTTTTCAAAAAGAAAAACAGAGTAAGTCTACATTACACAATAGGCCTTTAAATTATCCAATATTTTCAATTACCTACTCTTCAGTTTCCTGTGCAGCAGTTAATTTTACATTCAGCCCACACTGAGCCAAATAATGCACTCGGCAATGGTTTTCACTTCATTTTTCAAAGAATGTGCTGCAAACCTCCTTCCTAAAATATAGTCTATGGCATAGAGACTTTACCAAGCTTCAATGTGACTGAGGATAAGCCTGCTCCAAACACTTTATGTGCACTCTCACCATACCATTAACAGTGTCCTCCTTACAGCAGCTTGCTGAAGGATTAGCAACCTGTTTTCCAGATGAGGAAACTGAGGTACTGAGAAGTTAAGGAATGTGTACAAGGACCTGTAGCCAGAAAGAGTTGTGGGTGACATTGAACCAGCCTGTCTCCTGAATAGGTATTAGTGAGTAAAGTAAGATTTGGTTTACTCCAAACCTGTTGTAGCGGGAGCCATCTGCTCTATACCCAACCTTTTAATTGTTTAATTGTTTAAAAGTAAATGTTTGAGTCCCAACGTGATTCATGTGGGCGCTATTTTCTGTTTGCCTTTGCAGCACATGCTCTCCAAAGTGGGAATGTGGGATTTTGACATTTTCTTGTTTGATCGTTTGACAAATGGTAAGTTACCCAGAAGAAGTGTCACCAAAATGCACGTGATAAAGGGGAGTTCATTGCATTTTTTAAAGTTTATTTTTAAACACTACTGTTCTTTTTTCCTTCTTTACCCATTTTTGTAAACCTGCACCTCTCAAGAAAGACCAGGATGAAGAAAAGTTAATTCAGGCCAAGAATAAGACCTTAAGAGTTTGACTTTAGAATCAGGATAGTTTCCTCCTGACTATGATGATCTAAAAGGAATTAGGAACTGGCAGATCACCTTCCTTTCCTTGAAGAATACTTATGTTACGTTCTAAAGGAAAACGTCTATTGCTAATGGAAAGCTAAAAACACAAGAGCACTTCAGTCTAGTCCTAACTTTTACAAGGCAGGGTCCTTGTGCATTTTTTTTTTTAGTGAGCTCAGTCTATATATTGCAGGTGTTGCTCAGATAAATTTGCAATCACCAGAAGCAAAAGACTGCTAAGGAGAAAGTGCAAATGCTCACACGGAGCCAAAGAGAAAAGGGAATACTCATTAGTTTTGCTTTAAGGTTCTGTGCCTCTAAAAACCTTCTTTATCAAAAATAATACAATATTATTGTATTTTCATCTGGCCACTAAACAAGCCTAGGCAAGCTTAAGAAGCCTATGAAAGACCTCATATTTGGTGCTGGTGTTACTCTCTCCTATCATCTACCATCATGTTTGGTGTTATTTTTTACATTAAGTCATTATAGATGACTTAAGACTGTGCAGTCAAAAGGATATAGCCTAGAATCATGAAATGTAAATTTACTCCGTGGAAATATAACTTTATAACTTGACCAGATATGGATGGATCCCCTAAGATTGTATTTCACTTTGCTCAAATTAACGGAGAAACTGGTAAATGAAAGTAACTGCAAATAAAAGAACTTGTTTAATAGTGCTAATTAAAAAATTATGTCATCATGACTATCATCGAAAGTAAAGTGAACATGATAAATATTTAGTTTAACTCAGTACATTTGAGGTCCAATAACATGCTACAACTAGTTCAAAAAGAGACTTTGATGAATCACACGCACACATGCAGTAAGAAATGAGTTTCTAGAAAGAATAAGATTATATCATTTTCAGGGAAATGGATGGACACAGAACAAATCATGTTAAGTGAGGTAAGCCAAGTGCAGACACAAATAGCACATGTTTTCTCTCATATGCAGAAGCTAGATCTAAAATACATGAGGACCTGATGAGTTATACAGGACTCTAGGCATTCACTTGCAGCGAGACCACAGGAGGATACTCTTAGGAGAGGAACACAAAGGTGCATCTGATCATATAAAATAATAGTTATTAAAATGAACTCCAGGAAATGGAAATGAGAGGTTTTTTAAATCTTTGTTGCTGTTTTTGTTTTCTTTTCTTTTTGTCTTGTTTGTTCATTTATCTGTCTTTGGGAGAGTAATAGAGGCACAGAAATGGAGGGACAGAGGGTAAACAGATGCAGCAATGGTACTCACCGGACACTGTTGAAAATGAACTATACATCTTATGGGTCAGAATGAGAGGGGAAAACTGGGAGAGAGCGAGGGAAGGGAATAACATTGTCCTAAAAGAATGTGCTCTTTACTTGACTTACATAACTGTAACCCCTCTGTACATTACCTTTGTAATAATTTTTTAATTAAAAAAAACAAAGAAATGAGTTCTTAATTAGCTGCAAAACTGGGAGAGAAATGAGATCTATTGGTAGCAGACTAAGTTCATTCAGAAGTCCATGGACAAGAATCATTTGCAGTTGATTAATTAAACTAACTCTAAATTGAGACTTGTGAAATAATTCAAACACAGTGAAACAGGCAATTTATGAACACCAGAAATACATGCTTAGACAGCAAATAGTTTTTCATTCAATAAACTCAGGCATCTTCTTGGCCCATTTGAAAGTCTTAAACTCTACAATCTTTTTCACATTCAAAATTATTATTGTTAAATTAACAATATGTCTTAAATGCTTATATGAAGTTATAGCTTTCATCTCTCCTTGCTTGAGTTCTAAAATACCTCCTAGTCAAATGGCCTCTCAGCCAATATTTTTCATAGGATTAAGAATGAATAGCCTGGGGTGGGAAGGTGGCTCAGTGGTAGAGTGCTTGCCTTGCATGCCTGAGGCCCTGGGTTCCATTCCTCAGCACCACATAAGCAAAATGAAAAAAAGCCGGAAGTGGCACTATGGCTCAAGTGGTAGAGCGCTAGCCTTGAGCTGAAGAGCTGAGGGACAGCGCCCAGGCCCAGAGTTCAGGCCCCACGACCGGATCCAAAAAAAAAAGAATAAATAGCCTATCACTGTTAATCAATACATTTCTTTGGATACCCTACTAAATGTCACAGTCAGCAGGAAGTGACTTACGGCACATTTCAAGTGGTTATAACTGTGTTTTAAAAGAACATGCTTATATATTCCCACACACTGAGTGTTCTTAATATGTCAGTAGGCAAGCTCCTTTTAACTTTTTTATGGCCTCTGGCATAGGGAGAAAGCCTCATCTTTTTCTACAATAAGACAAACCTAGGACCAGATCCTAGTGATAATATCCTCTGTGTGTGAATCATTTCAAATATGAAGGAAGAAAAATTATCCTATCAGAGGATATTATCACAGAGATTAGATCTTATTTTAGTCTTGATACTTTAATGGTGACAAAATAAGTCAAAACAGGTGACTGTTTTTCTCTAGGAAACAGCCTGGTAACACTGCTGTGTCACCTCTTCAACACCCATGGACTCATTCACCATTTCAAGCTGGATATGGTGACCTTGCATAGATTTTTAGGTAAGTCTATTTTTCCAAATTTCTACTTCAGTCTTGTGAATAATGGCAGAACACAATAGTCTTCAATATAAAGCATGAAGAACCGCAGCATGGTAGATAAAGGCCTCAAATCTTAAATGATCTTACCTTAATTTTTTTTTGCCATGCCTAGGCCTTGAACTATGGGCCTACACACTGAGTAAAAAGTATATGAAGCACAACAGAAATATTTGGATCTAGCCTCAACATGGCTTCTTCCCATGGCTGACAGTATTTCATTTAAATGAGCAAAATAATGACTATGAATAGGTCCACATAGTTATGATTTGTAAAGATTCTCTGGACATATGTTTGTGCCCTGAGAACATGTGAAAATAGTCTCAAAAAATGAATGACCAGCACAATCTAGGACTGTTTTATTATTTGAGCTTAAGAGTACTCTAAGTCTTGGGTTACAGTGGAGGGGCATGAAAAATGATACCTTGAATAAGGTAGACAAAGCCAAAGAGGCCTCAGGTTGGTCCAAGCTGAAGATGAATCCAAATTTTCTTGGATCAGTAATGGTTAATACTGTCAAGAAATAATCTAATCCCTGGAGATGAGGAGCCTGATCCTCCCGAGATTTTGAATGGAAGCTTCATCTATGACTTAATATTCCTAAGCCATATGGCAGCACCGTTGAATAATTAAACTATGTTGTAAAGTAATATTGTCTCTTTTTTTCTACATGTTTATCATTCCTATGATTGAGAGCCTTCAGGAATGCCAGAAAAGAATGATTTGTGAGGGAGCTGGAACATCCCAAAGGCTTCCTAATTCCTTTTAGCTTTTCTCTGCTTATTTCTCCTTCTCTTCCTCACTACAGATAACTTAGCAGAAGAGCCAAAACTGTGAATGGCCTTCCAAGGATCCACTGGCTATACATTGTTGGGGTCAATGATATTTTTCAGCAAAAAGCACCTTCAAAAAGTCTGACCTACTATGCCTTTCTCATTGGATTTTAACTGACTGAGTTATCTGCTTGCCTCCTAGTCATGGTTCAAGAAGACTACCATGGTCAAAATCCCTATCACAACGCTGTTCATGCAGCTGATGTCACTCAAGCCATGCACTGCTACCTGAGGGAGCCAAAGGTAAAGCACCGCCAGCCATCCCCCACCCCCTCAGCCACTAACTCCCTCGCTCTACATTACACAATGTAGCTGAACAACTCTGTTAGTAGTCATTTACAACAAGACATGCAAATCACTGCTTTTGAACTTTCCGTGTCAGCTCTGAGATAATAGATGCATGGAAAAGAATGCGGGTTTGCTGACATTCCCTCTCCTACTGTATTTTTTTTATTTTTATGTGTTTCTTGCTTTTTGTGCCCATTGCGTGGATTAAACTCAGGGACTGGGTGTTTCCTGTCCCTGAGCTTTTTCACTCCAAGGTTGGCACTCTACCACTTGAACCACAGCTCCACTTCCCACTTAATTGAAGATAAGAATTTCACAGACTTCCCTGCCTGGGCTGGCTTTGAACTGGGATTCTCAGATCTCAGCTTCCTGAATAACTAGTAATACAGGCATACACCACCAATGCCCGTCTCATACCATATTTATTTTCAAGGCAGCATAAGGACAAAAAGCAACCCTCCAGCTGGGAAGGTGGCTCAGGGTAGAGTGCTTGCCTTGTATGCATGAGGCCCTGGGTTCGAAGGTGGCTCAGTGCTAGAGCGTTTGCCTTGCATGCCTGAGGCCCTGGGTTCGATTCCTCAGGACCACATAAGCAAAAAGAAAAAAGCTGGAAGTGGCACTGTGACTCAAGTGGTAGAGTGCTAGCCTTGAGCTGAAGACCTGAGTGACAGTGCCTAGGCCCAGAGTTCAGGCCCCACGACCAGACCCTCCCCCCCCAAAAAAAAGCAACCCTCTCTATGGACAGACAAATCTGAGACATCTTCAGCGGCTCCAGAGACCAGCTCTTTTGTCACAAATAGCACTGGCACTGAGCTTTACTAGGAAAACCTTCCTACTTTATAGCTTTTGACCAACAAATAGCCTCAGAATTCCTCAAGGTTAAAGCTCCATCTGTACTGAGCTAACGAGAAATCCTGATTCAAAATTGTTTTAGCAAGCCAACTCTGATTCAATAAACCAATCAATCCAAAGTTAGAAAATAAAAAACAAAATGGTAATGCCTATTATTAACAATCTAAGCAATTCTTTGCTGCAGAATGAATTGGGTGTTCGGTAGAATGTACAGTGTAAGCTTCTTAAGATTTTTGGGGGAAATGATACAGTCTAAGACTCTCTTATTAAATTTACCGATGTTTCACAACAACCACTAAAAATACAGATGTCAAGTAGGTAGACTCTGGGACAATGATGAGAAGATAAAGTAGATGCTTCATCCCTCTCCAATATCCCAAAGGCATTAATGGTTTTACTTTTTAATCTCCTTTTAGTCCAAAAGTTGCAATATATCACATAGTTAATTGTGTGCGATTCCCATTTTTCTGCTTGTTTTCCTGGCTAACCAACAAATTAATGATCCTGTCCCCTCCCCCAACTATTTATTGCACATAAAAGCGCACACAAAAAACTGACAACTCGGCCCACTTGTTTCAAGGAAGTGGAAAAGATACAGGAGTTGAAATACACAAGTAATTCCTCAAATGTGTCTTCAACATTTTCCTTGATTTACAACGTTAGGAACAAGGTTGATGTTAATTCCTGCCTTCTCCTTGCCCACCAAGTAGCAGTTTGCCAACGAGCCATGCTGTTGCGACAAAACGAAATTGAGTGGCAGTTGAAAGCAGGCACTGGAACAATCTGCACAATCTCACTTTGCGCAGTTACTTTCCGCAGAGCCTTTTCTTTGGTCCTGGCAGTTCCAGGTGGATATCACCTCGATGAATGCCTCAGAGGAGAGGTCTGGCTGATAGGCCCGAAGAACACTTCATTGTGATTGATTTAGCCAGAACAAATGTCACCATTTATGGAAGCACACTCATCAATCCCCAAATTTTATTTTTATTTTTTGACAGCTGGCCAGCTTCCTTACTCCTCTGGACATCATGCTCGGACTACTGGCTGCAGCAACTCATGATGTTGACCACCCAGGGGTGAACCAGCCATTTTTGATCAAAACTAACCATCACCTTGCCAACCTGTATCAGGTAAGGAAGCCCAGCATGCCATCAGATCCTATAGAGTCAATTGCACAAGGTCCAGGGTTCCAGTCTGGATTCTGCCAGTGCAGATAACTTCATGTTGGATATGCAGATCACACCCAAAGAACATGGGTTCGAAACCCATGGATCCAGCTTATCCTTCAAAGAAGATTAAACTGGGGCTGGGAAGACGGCTCAGTGGTAGAGCGCTTGCCTTGCATGCCTGAGGCCCTGGGTTCGATTCCTCAGCACCACATAAGCAAAAAGAAAAAAGCCGGAAGTGGCGCTGTGGCTCAAGTGGTAGAGCGCTAGCCTTGAGCTGAAGAGCTGAGGGACAGTGCCCAGACCCATAGTTCAGGCCCCACAACCGGACCCCCCCCCAAAGAAGATTAAACTTATGTGCAAGGATATCAAAAAATGCAAATTAGGGCTGGGAAGGTGACTCAGTGGTAGAGTGCTTGCCTTGCATGCATGAGCCCTTGAGTTCGATTCCTCAGCACCACATAAACAGAAAAGGCCAGAAGTGGCTCTGTGGCTCATATGGTAGAGCACTAACCTTGAGCTGAAGAGCTGAGGGATAGCGCCCAGGCTCAGAGTTCAGGCCCCACGACTGGCAAAAATAAATAAATAAGCAAGCAAATTATTCCAAAGTAGGTTTGAAATTGTCCTAAGTCAAACATGATCCCTGATGCTACTCTCCCATGGTCTAGAGTAACAGTCTCCAAGGAATTCCTTACTCAATTTTAAGTTCAAATATTTTTCAGCGAATTTAATCTCTTTTCTAAAATAAAGCATTCCAATATAACCAGCTTCTACAAATTTTGCAACATATGATCTTATATGTTTTTAATCAGCTGCTATTCATTGCCTACATCGAATGATATACAAAGATGTATAGGTACAAAAATCAACAAAACAATCTCTGTTATTAAACATCTGGTCAAACTCAAATGTCAAAATTAGCAAAATCCAGATACACTTAATTCCAGTTTGAAAAAAGTTTGAGCAGTTAAATAAAGGTACATCTATAGATTGATTTTTTTTTTACTCTTTAAAGAGCAAATACTTGAGCTATTTTTTTTTTTTTTTTTTTTATTGTAAA